ACAGGATGTTACAGATGTTGTCACAACGCAACATCATCTCAGTCCACACATGCTCCTGCCACTCTAGGTCAGCACTGAGCCTGCGCGACAGAGTGTCGTGAATGTCGTGCATGACGCCGACGTGTTGCTGCATGAGGTCCTCTGCCATTCTGGCCCGTCTGTGGTTCCCCCGGATTCTGACAGGTGGCTGCGGTGGTGGTGGTGGCTGGGCCTTCCATCCCGGCTGTGGAGAACACAGAGAAGGGAGAGACCGTCAGTGCTCCCTGCACACACATTCCCTGAGGTCGTGCCCTCTTGTGAGAGTGGCGACTGCACCAGTCCGCGGCTCGCAGAAAGAAGATGTCCCGGTGCAAGGCCATGTTTGGCCTGCACAGCATACCATGTCACAGAGGCCCCGATGGGGCCAGAGGTCTGTGATGCCCTCTCCTTTCCCCCCAAACACACACACCACAGCCAGGCAGGCAAGGGAAGTGCGCGGCCACAGGGGGGCGCCCCGGCCAGCCTGCCCTCCCTGGGGTCTGCACACACAGCTGCGGCTTGCTGGGCTATAAGTGGGAGTGGCTGCTGCCTTGCATGTGCAGGCATGTCTGTGTGCTGTGGGCAGCACTCTGGGGTGTGTGGGGGGTTGTGCTTGCGCCCTAGTGCGCCCCCATCTTCCCTAGGGACAGGACTTGTATGGCCACACATGAAGCTAGCAACAGGCTCCCAAGCATGTTGAGGGGCTGGCTGCTATGGCCGCATGCCGCACCCTCCCGCTGCATGTGGATGCCCATGTTCAGACTGCGGCAGCATGTGCTGGCTTAGCAGCCCTCGCGACACTGTGCCCCCTGTGCACCCACCTCCCCCCAACACCCCCCCATGTGTGTGTGCGCGCGCCAACGTACCTGAAGATCTTTCCCAAGCCTACTCGGAGGCCTGGAAGACGTCCAGGATGGCAGGGACTGGCTCCAGGGACAGGGTGATGGTCCCACTGTCCTCGTTCTCCTCCTCCTCCGTCGGAGGCTGAACCTGCCCCTCCGTCTCGGGGACAGGCTCCGGGAGCTGGAGTCCACCACGATGGAGGGGGAAGAGGGTTCCTCCCTCCCCAAGGATGTGGTAGAGCTCAGCGTAGTGGGGCAGGTGTGGAGTCCTGCTGTTGAGCGTGCCCTGCGCTCCCTGGCCTTTATGTACCCCTGACAGAGCTCCTTCACCTCTGCCCAGACTTGTTCCATGGTCTGCACAGGGTGACCTCACTCCGCCAGGGGTATGGCCAAACGAGAATAAATCTCCGCATTGCGGCGCTTGGCCCCGGGGGGATCCTGCAGGGACTCCTCTTCACCCCACAACTCGAGGAGGGTGACGGTTTCAGGGCCATTCCAGGTGGGGCACGCTTTTTGGTCCCCTAGTGGGTCCTGTGACCCCTGTAAGGGCCAGGGGGGTCTTGGGGAGCTTGCTGGGAGGCCATTTGTGGCTGAAGCAGAACTATAGAGTTGTGCTTGACTTGGCCGGAGTGGCCAAGAGGCCATCTTTTTTTCCCCCTGGAAGCCAATCCTTGCACAAAACGCCCTCTGGAGCATCCACACTTGCCTTTCTGCATGGAGCATCCACACTTGCTTTGCGGGGGGAGCTGTAGCGCAAAAAGGAGTTATGCCTCATAGAAGGGAGGTATACCTACACTGCAAAAAGCCTTCTGTTCTGTCAATTGACTAGATTTTCTTGCACAAAAGCGCGCTTGAGGAGTGGACACTGCACGGGTTTTTGCACAAAAACGGTTGTTTTTGCACAAAAACCTTGTAGTGTAGACGTAGCCAGAGGTTGCTAAACACATTTTGGTGCAATGTTTGGATGTTCCCAGGCATGTCGTCTATTCTTAGGGCTTCTCTACATGGAAAATTATACCAAAATGAACTAAGGTGTGAATTTAAACAGATACAGTCATAGCAGGGTAACTCCTTGCACTCAGGATCAGAGAGTTCTGGTGCCGCGGGGTGCTGGGGAACTGGGAGTCCAACTTGATGTGGGGGGGAGGTGCATGGCCCAGCTGGGCTGCGGAGGGTTCCATGGGAGCTGGTGTGTAGCTCAGCTGGGCTGTGAGGGGGAAGAGAAGGGGATGGGAGCCAGTGTGAGAAGCCAGGTGCACATCCCGGATGGGCTGTCCAGGGAGCCAAGAAGCCTGGGGGTAGAGGGGAATGCAGGGGGGCCACAAACGACCTCTCCTGGTCCAGCAAAATCCCTTGTCTGGGACCAATCAGGTTCTGAGGGTGCCAGACTAGGCAAGTCCCACCTATATTAAATGCTCAAAATTAACCATTAGAATTTTTGTACAGGACAAAATAAGGAAATATTCCTGCAATTCTTTATGCAAACTAAGAGAGATAGCAAAATTACCTAATAATGCTTTAAAAACTAAAAGTACTTAATATGTTGTACTTTTATCCTTTGTATTAATACAACAACATTATAAGCAGAACCCTCCTCAGAAATTAAGAAAAGTAGCACTCATAATAAATTAATAGTTGTTGAGTTTTGAAATGCAAAGAAATTTACTTAACACAAATCAACACACACAAAGCTAACAGATTATGAAATCAGAAAATTCTAACTCTACAATATGACAGAAATACTCTTAAAACTCAGATCATCCAGCATATGCCCTGTGAATAACTGGATTGATAAATTTCTGCCAATATAGGCCTGATCCTGAAAGGATGTACCTCTACGCTTAATTTAGTGCATTGTGAAAAGTCCCATTAAAATTAATAGGACTCTTCACAGCAGAACTATTTATACTGCATGTGTGAAAATCTTCAGAGGTTTGGAGCCACAGTCTAGAACTTCTTGCCTTTTCTAAATTCTGTATTAGTTGACCATTCAGAGTCACACTGTGATCTATCTAGAGCAGTGGTCCCCAACGCGGTGCCTGGGGGCGCCATGGCACCCGCTGGGACATTTGTGTGCACCCGCTGAAACATCTGGGCTGGCCCCGGTCTTGGCGCGCAGCACATGCGCAGTGCCGACCCCGGGCGCACAGCACATGCGTGGTGCCGGTCCTGGGCTCAGGGCGCTTGGGCAGCTCCTACCCCCAGCACATGGCACACGCGCGGCCACAGGCCCAGGGCGCAGCGCGCGTGCGCGGTCCCCACCCCCTGGGGGCGCGGCGCGTGCGCGGCCCTGCCCCCAGACGCCCGGCGCATGCACGGCCCCGCACCCGGACGCCTGGCAGCAACAAAAGGTTGGGAACCACTGATCTAGAGTGTATTCAATACTGAACGCAAGTCTCAAAAGCTTTCCATATTACTCCAGCAACAAAGCAAGTTAAAACCACAAACCAGAGATGCAACCACATGTTAGCTATTCAAAAAATCATGGATGGTCATAAAATATGCAACATTTGGTTACTTTCTGGAATGGAAAGCCCATGAATCTTGAGACACTGTATCAGCTTCTCTACAACATTAAACACAATATTTCAAATATCCATTAAAATTTCTATTACCCCATAGTTGAAATGAATAGAACGCATATGGTACCTGTGTCTTTACATTGTGAAACTTAAACATTAAGAAGTTCTAGTTTTACTGTAAGAGGGATTGTAGCACTGCCTATATTTAAGGTTGCCCATCACGTCTCTGTTTTGTGTTATTTTATCATGGCTAAATTGCTTGGGCTGAAAATTTCCATGCCAAATGTCTGCCATGAGCGGAATTTTTGTTTTGGTTTGGTTTTATTGTTTGTTAGAATATTTCAGCCAAAATAGTTTACCAGTTGGAGAGCAGGGTCTGAAAAAAAAATCATTGTACTTGCCCATGATGTTTTGCCCACATTAAAACACTCTTTTCTTTGAAAAGTTCTAGTGCCCCTATCCTTAAAGAATCTTGGAATTTAGCAGAGATGGTCCTTTTACTGACCCTTTGTCAGGACTGATCTGTAGGTGGCCTGTGTACATCCATCAGTTACTGAGCTGCAACCGGGAGATGAGTAGCCAGGTTGATGCGAGTCCTAGGTCAAGATACCAGGAAGTCAGGGTCAGATACCACATTACAGACAGCAGGCAAAAAGTAGAGTTAGGGAGGGATGTTAAAATGTGTTTATTTATTGTGTAACCACTGAAAAAACATTCAGTGGTTACACATTTACATGCCAGGAGGAGGGGGCGCTACTTGTAATCATTCACATCTCTAGGATGAAGCAGGGTCAGAAGTTGGAGCATACAGTCCATGGCAAGGCAAGGTGTGGAGCAGATGCAAAGAAGTGGTATGAGCTACTGCTCAGGCTGCTTGCGAAGATGGCTTCCTAGTTTATATACCAGCCATCAGTAGACTGAGGGGGGGCTACCCCACAGCCTTTTGGGGTAGTACTTCCTGCAGTTTCTGCCTTCACAGGTGCTTCCAACAGAAATCCAGCCTAAGCTTTCCATTGTAATGAGGAAGAGTCAGCAACATAGAACCTCATGGTCCCAAATTCTAATCCTGGAGGTTCTTAAACCCCAGAAAAATCCACCCAAATTTCATTCAATAACAATCCTTTGAAAAACTGAGGATGGAAACAGCAAGTAGGGGAAGACCAAGACCAGATGAGGACTCTGCTCTTTACACTGGTTTCCTAAGAATACAAAATTCATGGTCTCAATCCTTATCCTCAAGGTCACCAACAGCCTGAGCCAAAATACCTAGAAGAACCCCTCTAAATTTCTGGTGTGAGAACCACAGCTGAGACAACAGAACTGCCACTGTCAATAGCAAAGGTACACCTTGCACATGCATGAGAAAGAACTGTATCAGGGAATATCCAAGGCTGTGGAATAAACTCCCACAGTAATGAAGAGCAACCATTAACCCCACACTTCCACTGCAAGCACAAGAAAAAGTTATTTGACTTTTCTTGTATCAACGTGTAAACATCGAGTACAGTGAACATACATTAAAATAAAACAAATTAAAAATTCCTATACAATAGTCCTTTGGAGAGAGGAAGAGAGATGACAGTTACTAATCATGATGTTTAATGCACTTTTGGAAGGTGCTAAAACGCTACGGTGATGAGAGCTGTATAAGTCCCTCTAGAGAGGAGAGAATAGTAAAGGTGTCACTGAAAGAAGTATCAACTCTAGAAGTATCTCAGGCAATATTCCATTATGATAACCCCTTCTAAAATTTTATGTGTAATGAACAGGGACAGAGAACCTTGCAACACTCCATAAAGAAGAGTGTTGAGTGATGATGAGAAAATGTCTAACATCACATTCTGAAATCTCTCTTCCAGTTACGGAACGAAATGACTGAAGAACAATTCTGCTCATCACTATCAGAAATAGCTGCCTGGCCAACACCACCATGCTATCAACTAGGGATGTTAAATATCAGTTAATTGAATAGTTGATTATCCTCATGAATTCTTATCGGTTACCCAACTATTCTATAGTCCCCAGGTGTGGGCCCTGCAGCTAATGAGCTCCGGACCCACTCCCGAGGAGCACCCTGTCACTCCGTGCCACTGCCTCTGTATCAGAGGCAGCAGCATGGGGGGTTAAGTGGGAGCCAGTCTGCGAGGAGAACCAGTTTAAAAACCAGTTCCCCTTGCGGACTGGCTGCCTGTCACCATATGCTGCTGCCTCTGATACTGAGGCAGTAGCACAGGGTGGCAGCAGCCCCTGTCCTGGGGAGAGTCTGAGCTCCCAGACCCAATGCGAGCAGGAACTGAGCTGGGCTGCCTGCCCACCTGGCTCCTAATACACTTTAAATGCAGAGCTGTAGAAAGGATAGGTCCCAGATCTGGTGCAAGCTGGGACTGAGCCAGGCTGCAGGCCAGCCTGCTAAAAAGTTTATTGGCGAGGAAGGATGAGGGGAAATGCGTGTAGTCCAGGGGTCGGCAACCTTCAACGCACATGCCAATTTTCTGTGGCACGCAGGGCAGCTTAGCTCCTCCTCCACTGCCCCCCCGGTTCAGAGGATCCAGCCTCAGCTGCCCAGCTTCCTGCTGGAAGGGGAGGAAATGACTGGAGAGGCGCGTGTACATCCCTGGGGTTGTCCTTGCCTGCCTGGGCATGCAGCTCCCTGGAGCTAAGGGGTTAACACCCTCCTCCCATGCTACAGGCTCCGCCGACTGCTTCAGGAGGGAGCAGGGCAGGGCCTGCTCCACAGATCAGGCCCCGTCACACGTGGAGTGCCAGGGCCTGAGCTGTGCTGCACTGCTCCCATGATGTGTGGCAGGCTGCAGATGACGGATGAGCCCCAGGCAATGGGCTGGGCCAGGTAGGGAAGTGACTGTGCCACCCTGCCCCCTACCGCTGCTCACTCCAGCACCGCTCCCAGGGCCGCGAGTCCCAGTGCTTATGCCCTGAAGTGAGTACGCTAAGGGGAACAGGGATGTAGGAGTAGGAGGGGGTGAAGAAGGATGCGGGGGGAGGTTGGGAGGTGGCAGGGGCTGCATTGCAGGGAGATGGGGTGTTGCAAGGGGAACAGGCTGCAGAGGGGGTGATCATGGGACTGAGGGAAGCAAGGCTGGAACAGAGGGAAGATGTGAGCAGGGGATACAAATTTCCTTTGCAGAAGCTGCACTTTCCTTTACTCCCACTGTTTTGCCTCCCTCCTCCCATCACAACAGGATCCTCTTTGTACCTTATTGTGTGTGAATGAGAATTTCAGCCCATTTGCACAATAATCAACCAGCCACAAGGGATTTGATGCTTCAGAGGGGTAGCCGAGTTAGACTGTACAGGATAAACATAAAAAAATAACAAATCGTCTGGTAGCACTTTAAAGACTAACAAAACAAGGAGATGGTATCAGGAGCTTTCGTGGGCTTCTTCAACCCACTTCTTTGGTTGCATTCTCACCCTCTCAACTTTTCTGATTACTCGCTCAAACCCCTCCTAATCCCAAACTCCCTCTTGTTCCCATGTCGCCGAACTTCCCTCCAGACCCTGTCCTCCTCATCTCCTCCTGCACCCCTAACATTATTCCACTCACTGGCAGACCCATTCAGAACGCTGAACCCCTCATTTTTGTCCCCAGCTCAGAGCCTAAGGGGGTCTCCAAAATCCACTAACTCTGGAACCCCAGAAAAGTAAATCTGGCCCATGGGAAGCCCTGAACTTCAGTCCTCCCTGTCCCTTCCCCTCACCATGTGGGGCTAGAGCACCAAAAGAGTGACGCCCAAAAGATCTCAGTTGGGGGCCACATCAGTGAGGATTGGGGGGTTTTTGAGGAGTTTTTTTGCTTGTCATTTGTGTGGTCCCCAACTGAATTTTCTGTAGGCCAGTAACCCCCGACCCAAAAAAGGTTCCCCACTCCTGCCATAAATAAAGAATAGTGATAGAAATGAAGCCGTGTTAGTCCTGTATTTTGTTTCAGCTACACCAGACTATGTAGCACTTTAAAGACTAACAAGATGGTTTATTAGATGATGAGCTTTCGTGGGCCAGACCCACTTCCTCAGATCAAATAGTGGAAGAAAGCAGTCACAACCATATATACCAAAGGATACAATTAAAAAAAATGAACAAATATGAAAAGGACAAATCACATTGCAGAACAGAAGGGGGATGCGGGGGGGTGGGAAGGGGGAGGAAGGAAGGTAAGTGTCTGTGAATTGCTGATATTAAAGGTAGGGAGAGTGTTTTTTTTAATTGTATCCTTTGGTATATATGGTTGACACTATTTTCTTCCACTATTTGAGCTGAGGAAGTGGGTCTGGCCCACGAAAGCTCATCATCTAATAAACCATCTTGTTAGTCTTTAAAGTGCTACATAGTCCTGTATTCTGTTTCATAAATAAAGAAAACACTGAAGCCTTTTGTATTGGACATAAGGTAATATTTTTCTTTACTTAAAATGAAGTTTTATAAACTAACATTAAAGTTAAAATGTTTATTCTGTTAATAATTTAAATTAAACCATTCTCCCTAGCTGCAGCACTAGCAAAATGGCTTGGGCATAATTATGTATTTAATGGTGAGTTTCCATTAGCAACTGGTGGTCCGCAGAAAGATCTGCTACGAGCCAGGTGGTCCACAGGATGAGCAGTGGAAAGAGCTCTTCCTCTCCTCCCAGGAGAGCGGCATGGTCCCGGGCAAGAGGGTTAAATCTTGGCATGCCAGCTAGGGTTGTCAGATGGTTTCAACAAAAATACCAGATACACTTGACATTACATCACAATCTACATTACATCTTATTTAGAAAATACTGGACATTTATATTTTCTCAATTTGGTTCCCGAACAGAAAGCTCAAATAGTGGACTGTGCGGTTCAAAACCAGACACCTGGCAACTCTACACGCCACTTCAGAAAGTTTGCCGACCCCTGGTGTAGCCTATAAGATTAACTGATAAGTTTTTGCTCATTGGTTAATTGACTATACTACTACATCCCTACTATCAACTGTATCAAAGGTTGCTGTCAATATCCAGCATTATCAGCAAGAATCATTAGAGCATACATCATGATGATCAGAACATGTCTGAACACAAATTGAAAGAAATTAAATAACTAATCAACTGCAGACTGGTGGGAACAAAGCATTTCGGTCACAACATTTTCAAAAATCTTTTCCAAACATAAGAAGTTAGAAACCAAGCAAAACTGCAAACCAATATAGATTTTAAAAAAAAATAAGGCTGACACCTTCATACATCAAAGCACAGGCAAGACCTTATTAATTTAAACAGAGCCCCTGACATTTATTAGCAGCAAGCCCATGAGTAACCCACTAGCTGCCAGGAATGTACATGACACCTGTGGTCAGAATTAAACCCGCTGAGAACCTCTCTGATCTTGGAGTCTGAAACTCAGCCGGGACAGACCTAATATTCTGCAATGACATCCTTTCCATCTTAGATATTAATGCCACAGTCATAAACCAATCTTTTCTAATCTAGCTGATCTGCTGTCTGAAGAATGAGGAAAAAGTGTTAGAGCAAACAATTGCTGAATTCATTATGGGTCACTGGCATATTCTATTCACCAAACTACCAACAACCCAAACTAGTTTTACCAGATAAATCCTCATGCTAATCTAGGCTAAGAGAACTTTAAGGAAAAGAATAACCTGTTGGCCTCCTGCACAGACTCCAAGTGGGTCAGCCTTCATCGGCCGCCAGTCTTCTCCCTGACTTTTTAATTACTCAAGCCCACAATTAAACGAAGTGAAAGGGATGACATGAAAAGAGAGGATATCTTGGAGCCATTTCATAGATGGCAATGGGCAAAACCGTTATTCTAATCCATTAGCTCAGGGCAGAAAAAACCCAGAAGCAATTCAGGTCAGAACACTAACAGTTCTCTGGAAAAGGCACTTTTCTGGGGAAGGACCACTAAAACTGAGCCTTCCCAGTGGCACTTGTACCATGATCCCTCTCAGCACTAATTAAATGTCAGTATACAGCAGAATAGAAATGTGGACTTTCTGTGTGTATTCCCTGTACTTATCAGGGACAAACTGATGGAAGACACTGGTTCCATGAACTCACAGTCAATAATTAA